ACAGCGTGGATCAGAACCCAGCTCCTCTACCACCTAGAGGCTCTGCGTTTTCTGTAAGAAAACATTTTTTTGCTTCTTAAAATCCTGTGACCCTGTAAACACCGGAGAGCATCATTCAAACAGCAGCGATGCAGGGGGATGCAGGGGCGCCTGGGCGGCCGCTTGGGCTCAGGGTGTGATCTCAGAGTCCCGGGGTCGAGTCCCCCTCGGGATCCCCGCAGGGAGCGTGCGTCTCCCTCTGCCTGTGTCTCCTCTCTGTGTGTGTCTCTCATGAAAATAAATAAATAAAATCTTTAAAAAACAAAAAACAGCACCGACGCCAAGAGCAAAACCTGGATGTTGTCTAACTCCTACCCCTCTTGACTCCTACCGTCCCCCAAGGTGAAATCTCTTCAGGGGTTTGCTGGGCGCCTCCCAAGCCCTCGCTCTGCTCTAACCCACGCCGGACACACACGTAGGAAACACAGATCGGCCTGCCCTGCGTGTACCGTGGGGTGACTTGTTTGATTTCGCTTCCCACTACTCTCCACAGGACATGCGGATCCAGCTCTCCTTGGATGAGTGCCTGAGCCCCGGCTGCCAGGCTGGGGTCTTCTCCCGGCTCCCCCGGCTCTCCGCTGCTCACCGCGTCCCTTAGGCAGTGCTGGACCCAGGGCCCTGGTAATCCAAGCGGGATGACCTAAGAGCCCAGCCTCTGAGCAGGGCATTTCCCACTGACCACGCCTAAAGGATTTTAGGGCAGCGCCTGGCTCAGCACATAGGTGTGGAAGGAATCTGAGGCGGGACGTCTGGGTGGCTCAGTGGTTGAGCATCTGCCTTCAGCTCAGGGCGATCCTGGGGTTCTGGGATCAAGTCCCAAGTCGGGCTCCCTGCATGGAGCCTGCTTCTCTCTCTGTCTCTCATGAATAAATAAATAATTTTTTTAAAAAAAAGAATCTGAGGCAGCCCTGAGAAACACTTTTTTTTTTTTAATTTCAGAGATTAAGTATTAGTTGAATATGTGTCAGGGAAAAAAAAAAACCTTCAGTACATCAAACCAGGGATTTGAGGGTTTTCCAAATTTCCTTTGACACACGTTTTATTTAAATTTAATAAAATGGATCTATTTAAAGAGAAATGTTAAGTAAATAGTAGCACAGGTGGAACCTGGGAATGGCCAGGCTCCCGAGTGTGGACAGGCCCCGAGTGTGGACAGGCCCCGAGGGAGGGAGGTTTGGGAACTGCGGAGGGAGGGGCCGGGCTGTGGGGCCAGGGCTGGGCTGGCTTCCCAGAGCCCTTCCGGGCTCGGCTCCCAGCTCCAGGAGGGGCAGGGCCAGGGGGAAGGAGCCTGGGCTCCGAAGACAGAGCCCGTGTCCGGCTGTGAGTGATTTGCTGAGAAGGAAGAGTGCTTATGTTTTTTGCTTATCATCTGGACCTCGATGTACCCAGACAAGTGGCACCAAAGGCCGGAGAGGCAGAGCTGCTGGGCCTCCCCTGGGCTGCCAGGGTGATGAGAACCAAAGGTGGGGGGCCGAGAACCTCCATCCTTGGGGTCCGCTTCCTTGAAGGCAATGAAAGGCCTGGACCAAACTGGCAAAGTCGCACTCCACTGGGAGGCACTGGGGAGTCCCTGACAGGTTTGTTTGTTTTTTCAGCCGGGGAGCAACTTTAGGGCCACCTGAAGTCTAAAGATTTTATTTATTTATTTATTCATGAGAGAGAGAGACAGAGAGAGAGAGGCAGAGACACAGAGGGAGAAGCAGGCTCCCTGCAGAGAGCCCAATGTGGGATTTGAACCCAGGACCCCGGGATCACGGGATCACGACCAGAGCCCAAGGCAGACACTCAACCGCTGAGCCACCCAGGTGCCCCAAGGCCACCTGAAGTCAAGTCTTTGGAATATAAGCGCCCAACAAAGGAACAACAGCCATGCTGGCAACTTATTGTGGTCTTTGGCCAGGGCCAACGATGTTCTCTAGGAATCAGGCTTCAAATGAAGAAGGGATCTAGGGAGGAGAAACGAGGAGATTTGCTAGGTCAACAATGGGGGCCTAAGGAAAAGGTCGCCTATCACAGGCCATAGAGCTCTCTGAGGAGAGACTGGAAAAGCACTGTTTTGTGGTGGAGAAAGCACAGCAGCTGCCTGTCGTCTGTTTCTCCACTTGGGGGAAACAGGCTCGACCCCCATGGCCTTGTGAGTTTGGGGGGGGGGCTCTGCGTCCATCTCCACCCCCTCACACTCCTGCCCCCCTCCTCCCTCCGTGCCTCCCTTGGGCATGGCAGACCCAGGAGACAGCCAGAACCTTGGCATCACGGCTTTTAAAAGGCGGAGGCCCAAAACTTATCTAGGGGATGATCTCAACCATGTTTTTGAAAAGTGTATGAATGTATGGGAAGAAAATATAAAAATGTTAACTAACTGGTCTCCTCTGGCTGGTGGAAAATGAGGGATTTTCTTTTCCTTAAAGAGTCGAAAGGAGAAATGACACCACGTCGTCTGAGCAGCCAGATGTGCACCCCCCAAACTGGCTGAGCGACAACAGACCCCCCTCCCCCCCGCTGAAGATGGCAGTGGCCTGTGAAGCTAGCTCAGCCCAGGTGACCACGTCAAGGTGAAGGGAAGCTGCATCCTGGTATTTCACTGAAAGCCTGGTCAAGGCGGAAACCAACACAGACAAGCTTTATAGAGAAGGGGAGTGAGCCTGGAGCAGGGCCCAGGCTTTATTGATCGAAGGCTGGGCCCTGCCCTCGTGCTGAAGCACGCAGTCAGGCCTGTCCAAGGCAAACATGACAGCCTGACCTGGCCCCGGGAGCGAGCCCCACGCCGGGCTGTGTGTGGCTGGGGGCCGTTCAGCACCCGTGTGGGACTCTGGGGTCCTCCTATGGGGTTCTTTATGGCTCATTCTATAGATCAGTGATGGATCTCCTCTAGACAAAGCTTTGATTCAGCTTCCCGGAGGGTTCTGAGGCTAACTCCTCTTCCCAACAGAGGAAAAGAGGGCACTATGCTTCCAAATACTCAGACGCGGAAGCCCCTGTCTGCTGAGACAAGGTACACAGCCAACTCCAGCGCCTGCCCTGGGGCCTTCTGTCCACACTTGGGGCCTGGCTAACCGGCCCCAGGGCCAGGTTTCCCAACCTCCGCACTGTTGGCATTTGGGCCCTGATAAGTCTTTGTTGTGGGGGCCTGTCCTGTATGATGAAGGGTGTTCAGCAGCAGCCGTGGCCCCTCCTGCTAAATGCCAGTAGCATCACCCCAGACAACCAAAAATGTCTCCAGAAACTGCCTTTTTTAAGGAAATATATATATGTGTACTATGGAACCTCCCTCCTCCCTCTTTTTTTTTTTTTTTAAAGATTTTATTTATTTATTCATGAGCGACACAGAGAAAGAGGCAAAGACATGGGCAGATGGAGAAGCAGGCTCCCGATGAGGGACTCGATCCCAGGACCCCGGGATCACGCCCTGAGCTGAAGGCAGCCGCTCAACCAATGAGTCCCCCAGGTGCCCCACCTCCTCCGTCTTATAAGGAAGATCTTTAGCAAAATTGTGCATCATTCACGGGGTTTGGGTAGTCAGATCTGTCTCCCTTTCCTCCTCACCTGTCGTGGGGCAAGGCCCTCCCAAGAGACCTGGTTACGCTCAGGCTACACTATAAACAGGTACTATTCCAAAGTGTATGGAGGATGCACAGAATTTCTTAAATATGTATCTTAGAATCGATTCAATCTCATTCTTATAAAATCATACATCATATTTACTTTCTGACAATGCTTTCCTAGTGAGAGAAAAAGGCTGATAACACCCATAGGCAGATCAAGTGACTACATCGTTGATCATGTGCATCGCGGCCAGAAGATGCCTACAGAGGGCTAGTCTGGGAAGTTGTGGCTGACGTGGGAGTTCCCAGGGCCACTGGTATTCTCTTCAGGAAATAACCAGTCAGGCAGCACCTATACTGTCTCTCAGAGTACTCTGGGTTTTTTCCTCATAAATATGGTGTTTATTTGTTTAAAATCTCACCCCTCCCCCCCACTCTACTGCAAGCACAGGAAGGGCAGGGGCCAGGTCTGTTCCCTTCATCACTAAGTCCTTGGCATTCCTGGGCCTACCACATGGTCAACATTCAAAACATATTTGTTAAATGAAGAAATGAATGATGTCTGGGAACACTCCTCACTTCCTTGACCAGTAACCGTGGACTCATACATTGAGGATCAGATTGAATGTCACCTCCTCTGGGAAGTCCTCCCTGATTTCTCCCAACAGAACCAACCGCCTCGCATACTCAGAACACTTGATTCATATTTTCACTGCAACATGCATCATGGTATATACTATTTGGGGTTGCATCCTGCCTCCCCTGATGGAATGTAAGCTCTGTGTGGATAAGAGCGGCGATGTATTGTTTGTTAGCCCCACTTTCACGAGTGCTTGGTACACAGCGAATATTCAATAAATGCTTGTTCAAGGCAAGAATCAAAAAATGTTCTCCTGTCTCCATTCCAAATCCCAGACATCAAAGTTTGGACACATCCTGGTTCAAGTGCCTTGGCAAAACCCAGAGCCAAATGCCACTTTGAGCATCAGTTTCCTGGTTCCTTAACATGAGGAAAGAATCTCTGCCTGGCCCTTCTCAAGTTGAATCCAGGCTGGCTGCCTGATTGGCAGACACGACGATATGCTTGAGGAGCCTCGGCCTCAACATCCCCGCTCCCCAGGGCTATGAGGCTCCGAAGGACCTTCTGGGAGCCTCCTCTCCTTCCTGCCCTCCTAGACCCACACCTCCGGCTTGGAACCCAGACCCTGTGCTTGGAGAGCCCTAAAGAGCACCTCTGAATTTCTGTTCCATCCTCCCAATCCCTCGGAAAGGGGTGCATCTGGCCAGCAGGGGACCCCAACATCCAGCATGCATGGAGTAGTCCTGCCCCCTCCTGCCCACCGGAGCTCCGGGGCAGAGTGCAGCCTGGGATACCAGCAGAAGCTGTTCCCAGCCTGGTCCTGGGACGTTGCTGCCTACCTGGCTGGAGATGGGAGCGAGGGTGCTTTCTGGAGAAGGTCTGTCCCGGGATGGGCCTTCCTGCCGGCTGCAGTCCAGCTGGATCAGGTTGCGGCACTCCGGGTGGCAGGTGAATTTACAGTCTGGAGGGAAAGAACCACCAGAGGATTAGGAGTCAGGCAGGATTCTCTCCCCTTCCACCCAGGGAAATAGCCCGGGAGACTGCATTTAGCTCAGGAAGGAAGAATGTGCAGGAGGGAAGTGGAAGGGGGGAGAACGCCTCGGGGCCACCAGGGCTGGTGAGAGTTAATTGTGTTTTACACGTGTGCAAGCTGTGTTCACCTCCATTATTTTCTGGGACCTTGCAATCATTATTATTGCTACCTTACAGACAGGAAATTGGGGTCTAGGGACCTTAGTGATTTTCTCAAGGTCAGATAATCTGACTTCAGGCTGGTGCTCTTTCTGCTAATTTAATCACCAGGGGTCACGGATCCCTGGAGAAAGACAACTTTCCTGGGCCTCATTCCGCCAACCTGTAAAACACAGGTATTAGCTTCCCCACCTGGTGCATAAGGAAGTTTATGGTTCTAGGGGAGAACAGGCCTTAAGGAATCAAAAGTGCCTCCAGGGACAGAGGCAATATCACCAACAGGAAGGGCTGTTATCTGTCTTTGACCCTACCCCGATTGGAAATGTGGAGGTGACTTCTCTACTCCAGCCGAAAGGGCCTCTAGACAACATCCCAAATCAGGTGCTCCAGGGAGAGCATACATTTCACAGATAATGTTCACTTCCATGGAAGCAGAACTTCATCTCCAGATCTGAAAAGAGCCTTGGGAACTACTTTTTAGAGGTGGGGAAACTGAGGCTCAGAGGGGGTAAAGGGAATTTCCCCAATGACACATAGCTTAGCAACAGAGCCAGTGCTGCTCACGGCTGCCAGCTTCTTCAGGAGGTCTCTCTGGAGCCTCTTTGGCAAGAGGCAGTGAAGCTTGGCCAGGCAAGGGAGAGAGAGTACCGGGGAGGATGGGAGTGAAGCAAAGGTTGGCAGCAAAAGAAATCCATGCAAGTCCACCAGCAGGTAAAATGCTCAGATCTGTGCCGGTTTCGGTGGGGTTCCCACAGGGAGCGGCTGGGCCAGCTGGGGTCACTGCCCTGGAGGTGCCACAGCTTGGCCAGAAGACCCAGCCCAGGAGGGTGTGCAGTCTCCCTTGGGAAGACTGACTTCCTGAGTGTGGTACTTGTGGGGATGGGCTGGTGTGGGCAAGGCTGTGGCAGGGGACACGACAGCCTGTGCTTGTTTGGATAATGTGGGGACTAGGGGACCACTTCTGGCCGACAAGGGCTCAGGCTCCTGTCTTTGCCTTCCTTGGTAACAAGCTCCAAAAACCCATCTGGACTCTTCTCTTTAGTTGTTTTTTTTTTTTTAAGATTTTATTTATTTATTCATGAGAGACACAGAGAGAGAGGCAGAGACATAGGCAGGAGGAGAAGCAGGCTCCATGCAGGGAGCCTGATGTGGGACTCGAGCCTGGGACCAGGATCATGCCCTGGGCCAAAGGCAGACGCTCAACCACTGAGCCACCCAGGCGTCCCTGGACTCTTCTGAAAGCTGCTGTAGCGCACTGCGTCTTGGGCCAGGGCCGGGCCTCCTCTTCTCCCGCTCCTCCGCTAGGGAGTTTTGGAGTGAAACCTCCACTCCCTGCAGTTGCCCTCCTCCTTTACGCCCCCAAGGAGGAGCACCACTGCTGTCTGCAGGGGAGCACTTTCACAAATGCAGGGACACACAGAGATCCCAGAACCCCCGCAAGCCTCTGACTCAGTGGGCTGAAGCTCTGGGCTACCCTTCAGGGATGGCATTTAGAAGCTCTCTGGCTTACCACCCTCATGCCCGAAGGCCACCATCGTCCCCTCCGGCAGACCCCACCCTTGCCTAGGCCTTCCTACTCTCCCCCACGGAAGCCGCCCCCGCACCTGGAGACAGAATGGTGAAGCCATGGTCTGAGGCTTGCACTCCGTCCCTGCCAAGCGCCCACATGCCCTCCTGCCCCTGCCAGTAGGAGATCTCTGCCCGGCCTCACTCCCAGCAGGGTGAACCGTGCAGGGAGCTGTGCAGGCCAAGCCTCCCTTGCCCGCAGTGCCCAGAAATGCCAGGGCATTGATAAGGCAGCACCGAGGCCGGAGCCACACAGAGAAGCTTTGTTCTGGGCCGCGCTCCGGGGACACACCTGTGCAGGTTCTGGCCGCGCTCTGAGCCATGAAGAATGTTCCAGGGATGCCAAGAAGTGCAAACAAGGCAGGGAGGCAAGGGCTACAAGCTCTCCTAGCTCACAGCAAGAGCTGCCACCAACTCACAAGCGGGAAAGCGTCTCGAGACGGGAGGAGTCTTCCAGTCTCTTCTTTGAACTCCTGGGACCGTTGACACAGGCTCTGTATGTCCACGTGTGCCTCCGATTCTCTCATATTCTGTCCCTCTGCTGTCTCCGTCTCTGTCTGTCTGTCTCTCTCTCTCTCTCTCTCACACACACACACAGACACGCACGCGTGCCCCCTGAAAACAGCACCAAAAACCTCCGAGAGATGGGGGGTTTTTTGTTTTTGTTTTGTTTTGTTTTTTGTTTTTACAGTCCCAGTGCTGAGCTAGACAGAGCCAGGGAACAGAAGACTCCAGGAAGAGTATTTGGGGATTTTTATAAAAAGCATATTTGAGCACCAACGACTGTTCCATCAGACGGTGTAATCACAGACTGTAGCAAAACCACTGAAGCACATCTTGATGCTTCCAGGCCCTGGAAACACTATGGCCAGGCCAGCAGAGATGAGGTCAGAGCCCCCAGGCCTTCTCCAAACACGGAAGCGAGCCCCGGCACCACAGCGGTGGAGACACGCACGAGACTCCCGAGGCAGGGCCGCGTTGCCCACCCGGGGCTTGACCCCCGCAGCCCTCCTTCCCTCGTCACAGCTCATCGTGAGGTGCTGCCAAGCCAACTCCTTGGTATCCACGGCCCTCCACGGCCTCCAGCTGGTGCTCAATCTGGACACAGAAAGGGTGGGGGCCCCTGGGAGGCTCAGGGCCACACAGGCCCCCCGGGGAACGGCCCAGCCTTCCCAGAACAGCTGGCACCACGATCTTTGGCGACAACCCCACCGCCTTGCACGCAGACCTCCCCACGCCGAGGGAGAGGAGGAACAAGACAGGCCCTCTGGGAAGGGCTGCTGCCTGGGCAGACGGGATCCGCACGTGAAAAGACAACTAACGAGTGAGCAGCACGGAGCGGGGCCTGACTGCCCAGCGGTTCCAGGGAGCCTGTTCAGGGGACAGAGACCCCTGCCAGCCACAGCAGCCAGGGAATTTTTCTTGGTGAGGGAGGCCCTAGGGAGCTTGAAAAATGGACCAGATTCCAGGCGATTCCATTCCCACATCGCAGGGGCCACGAGAGGGCAGGGCGCTCTGACGTCACAAAATAGGATGAGGATCTCCCCGACAAGAGGCAGCAAAGTTCAGGGAGCAGCGCTCCTAGGTCCCAATCGGAGTATCTTTGGGACAACTGGCATTTCTTGACCTTAGTATTGTCATCTATAAAATAGAATTATTATCCCTTCCGGTCTCCACCCTTCCCTTCCAGCTTTAACCTTGGCCCCATTCCCAGGGGATGCATGGACAAAAATAAATGTGCCTCCAGGTCCTGCAAGAGGGACCTGTGGAAATAGAGGGGCCAACCGTAAAGAGAAGTGATGGAGACAAATCATAAGAGGGGTCCTTCTCCAAGGGGGGACCCCTGTGCCAGGATGGAGACGGGGCCGCTGGGACCACCCTCAGCACCCAGACTGCTCTAGTTTCCCAGCTGCTGTAACAAAGCACCGCGAACCAGTGGCTTAACACAGAGATTTATATGGGTTTGGAAGGCTGCAAGTCCGATAAGGAAACTTCAGGCCCTTTCACCCCAGAGCTGCCTGCAAGACCCTGAGATGACACGGAGCTCTCTACTGAACTCTGTCTGAGGCCAAGGCATGGGGCGAGGGCGGAGGCTGGCACCCAGGATACACAGCCTGGTCTGCAGCGAGCCCACAGGCCTTCCTCGCAGTCACTCTAGGGTCAGTGAAGAGCACCTCTCACCCTGCTTGGCCAAGCCACCTCTGAGGCCCAACGGGGAATCTAGGAGCCCCATGCCCATTCTCTGGGCACCCCACGCCTTCTTGGAGAAGGTAAACCTCAGAACGAACCTTTCTACTTCCCCCTTTTGCCCCCAGGGACTTGGCCTGTACGGAGGTGTAATGGCAAGAGAACGAACGTTGTGGCAGGTCTTCAATCACACTCAACCAGGTCCATGGCCTTGGGTAAGTTATTGAACTTCTCTGAGCATTAATCCCCTCGACACCACAAGGGGAATGAGCCAGCTCGCAGGGCTACCATGAGGATGCAGTGGGGTTCCTGATGCAGGGCACCGCACAGGGGACCCCCGGTGACTGCCCCCCTGGCCCCAGCACTGCACTGACAGCCAGAGTTTGCCCCACTCAGCTGCCGGTGGATGATCTGCAGTCTCACCAGCCTTCCTCCAGCCAATCATCTCAAAGCAACACACAAGTGGCTTTTTTTTTTTTTAAAGAAAGTTTATTCAACTGAGTGAAGTGACAACTTCTGTCTCAGAAGAGGAGATACATAGAGAGAGAGAGAGAGAGAGGCAGAGACACAGGCAGAGAGAGAAGCAGGCTCCGTGCCGGGAGCCCGACGTGGGACTCGATCCCGGGACTCCAGGATCGCGCCCTGGACCAAAGGCAGGTGCTAAACCGCTGCGCCACCCAGGGATCCCACAAGTGGCTTTTTGATTTTAAAATAATTTTGTTCTGAGACAGTACTAACAAAAACAACAAACAAAACAAAAAAGGGCACTGGAAAAATACAGTGTTAACCTAAGTTTTTAAAAAGCAGAAGTAAAGGCTGGCCTGGTCATCCAGCGCAAGTCTATGAAGACAGTCCTCAGTACCAGGGGTCCCTACTCACACCTTCGTGGGACCCTTCAAAGGTCCCCCGTTCTTGCACCGGGAGTCACTGCACAGAAGCCTCTCAGCTGGACCAGCTGTCCCTGCTCAGAGACCACCCAGGTCGCCTCCAAAACCACTGCACCCACCATCCTGCTCC